AGGAAGCCGAACATCTTCATCTCGCTCGCTGCGGGTCTTTGTTTTCACCTGGTTTCCATCGTCCTCAGGGAGCGCTGAACATCGGCGAGCAGACGATCCCCCAGCCCAGAGTCCTGCAGCTGTCGGTGGAGAAGCTCAGCCGGGAGGGAGCGTTCCTCCTGGACGCTGGGCTGGTGTGTTTAGAGGGAAGGAGAAACGTTCCTGTTGAACCGGGTCAAAACCGTAACGCCTGTGTCTTTAATCCAGGTCATGTATCTTTGGATCGGACGAAACTGCCACCAAAACTTCCTCTCTCAAGTCCTGGGAGTTTCCAGCTACGCTGCCGTGCCGGAGAAGCTGGTAGGAAAAACAACATTTAACGATGATGCAGCTTCTTTTAATAAGGACAGCGGCAGGGTTACTGCACTGCAAAAACACAAATTTTACCATGTAAATTCAGTTTAGTTTGTAGAGAAAATATCTGTGAATACATTGGAAATATGAGAAAACTAACTTAGCAGCAACTATTCAGCAAGATGCATTAGTTTAAGTCAGTAAATACGGATATGAAAACTTTAGTTCCACTGGCAGATTATTTTAGTTTTAACACATTTTGCATGTTATAAGTGGAATAATCTGCCAGTGGAACTAAAGCTTTTTATATCAGTTTTAAGGATTTATTGACTTACAGCTAATGTTTCTTGCTGAATAGTTGCTGTTAGTTTTTGCTCTACAAACTGAACGATAAATATCTGGTAAAGTTTTCCAGCTGTTGGAAAAAGAAACTATTTTATGATAAAATAATTTATCAACAGTTTGAAACTTCTCCTCCTTCCCACCAATCCTTCTCTTCTCAGTCTCCTTACTTCCTGTCCTTCCTTCATTCTTCCCTTCATCTTTCCTTTTGTTTTTCTGGATCTACCGTCATTTTTCTTCTTTCACATCTCGTCGTTTCACCTTTCTCTGCTTTTCATTTCCTTGGTTTCCTTCCATCCGTTCATCCATGTGTCCCTCCGTTTTTATCTTTTCTTTAGCTTCTGGAGCGCTAAGGCCTGCCTGGTGTAGAAATGTTCACTAAACATCAGCAGGACTTTGTGGTCTCTGCCAGATTTAACACCAAGTTAAACTCTGAACCGTTTCCTGTTGTAGCCGAGTCACTAGACTGATGCTGTAACTCGGTTTTATCTTTTGTTATTTTAAAAGGTCTGTTGCTCTCCTCTGCAGTATCTCCTTCCAGAGCTGGACACTGCAGAGTCCCAGAGAACCAGAGCGTTCGTCAGCTGGCTCAGGGACCAGCGGCCGTTCTTCCCCTCCCTCCACATCATCAGGTGGGTTTTGATTTAAAATGATTCAAAACAAAGTATCTGTTGTTATTAATGAAGTCTTGGACCTCTGTTGTTCAAATTGCTACAAACTCTACAGTTATTGGGGAAAACCTTGACTGGACAGACCCAGGCAGACATTTTAGGCATGAATTTGAAAACATTTTAGTTTTTTTAAGTCTTTTCGCAGGTGAAATTAAAAATACAACTTCAGTCAGTTTTAAAAATAAGAGCTGGCTTTTAAATGTGTGTGAATTAAACATAAAAGACGTAAAACTAGACCCGGCACTGCCACTGATGTTTGGCTGGGTTGGTTCGGCCATAACTGAACAAATGCTGCAGAAAGATTTATAATCTGGCAAGAAATGAATCTGATGGAAAGGAGCCAGTAAACGGCCAAAATGTCTAAAAATCTGATCTTTAATTCAAGATGGCCGACTTCCTGTTTGGCTCATGTGCAAGAGGCTTTTCTGCAGGTCTTACATTTCTACGGCTGTAAAAAAAAATCATTCTTCTGCATTAAATTAAATTATACACAGAGTATTTTGAATGCCAGAAAACATTTTTACAATTTTTGTGTTTTAATCGTTTAATTTGAGAGGAAGGTTGTTTATCGTAACAATTTGTTTTGTTTGACTTTAATGAATATTTATTCTTCTTAATGGCTCAATGACTTACTGGTCTTCTTACATGTTTTTCATTAAACAGTTATTTTTATTTTTTGTTAAATTAGTGTTTTGGTGTCAGACGTTTCGAAACATAAAATTGTTATATTTTAGTTTGCCAAGTTTAGTAGAATGTGGAATACTATCAAAATATTTTAATAAGAATAATACATTTTATCATATAATAGTGAACTTGTATTGTTTTTGTCTCCAAAGTGTGGTGTTTGAGTTTTATTGTGGAAAAGTTTAAGGAGGAGCCGTTCACAGGAATAGAGAAGTTTCTTGTTTTTAAAATAAAAGCTCTTTAAATGTTGGCTAAAAGCAGCACTGAGCAGGAATCTTCCTGTTGTTAATTTCCTGCTCAGGGACGAGAGCCAGCTGAAGCCTCACTTCCTGCAGAACATGATCGAAGACCGGACGGAGTCGGCTCTGTCCTACTACGAGTTCCTGCTCCACCTGCAGCAGCAAATCTCCAAATAATCAGCAGCGGCGCGTCGGAGAAAGGACGTTCACCGTGTGTATGCGTGTGTGTGTGTTAGGATGTCTGTGTGTGTGTGGGGCAGAAAGAGGCAGCGCTCTACACACACTCCAGCTGCGATCCGCCATCACCTCTAGAAAAACCTGAGCGGGAACGTCGGATCAGAATCTGTGACGGTCGGACAGAGGAACTGGGTTCTGCCTTTTCTCCGGCCGGCTGAGTCGGCGTTGGAGAAGGCAGCGGCTGGAAGTCCATGTTGATCATAATGGCGTTTATCGGATGAATCAGTGTTTCTTTTCCTCAGAACAATGCTGTCGAACCGAGGTGTCGATGCAGAACAGGCGGTCTCTAGTGTTTCTGTTCAAAAAGCACATTTTGTCTTCACTACCAAATCAAACTGGTCTTCATGTGAGTGCATCTGCTTAGTGGGCTTACGAGGCGGCTGAGCGTTGGCCGTCTTAATGTTCCTGAAGGAGAGTGTGTTTCTTTTTCCTTTTTAAGTCATTATAATTGTTGAACAAAGCATAGACTCTAAAGCTGGAGGCGGACGGACGCGGCGGTCTCTGCTGCCTGGAATGTGCCGACTCGGCGGCGGGGAAAAGGTCCGGTCGGTCAGATCTGTCCTCCAGAAACTCGTCCGCCATCTTTTCTCTCTGGACTTTTCAGAACACCTCTACGACTTTGCTGTTCTGTTTTTCTTTATTTTCTGACTCCTGTTTAATTTATGAGACTCCCAATCTGATTAAATTCCATAATTGCCTTGTATGGGAACTCACTTTTTATTATTAAACCTGTTTAAATACTGACTCTATATATAAAATATTTTAATATAATAGGATATGGGAAATCTTTAACACAGGTGTGACGAAGCCATTCTGATCTTTTAATCCTGCTTATTGATACTTGTATATTGAACAGACTGCATTATGTAAAGGAGAAGAAATGCTGATGATTTTAGTATAAATAAATTGAAATGGATGCTAAGAAAATAAACAGTTTGGGACTTTTTACATGTAGTTTGTGTTTTAGTTGGTCAATTATGTTTATTTTGAAGTTACAAGTTTCAGGCTCATTGAAATGGAGTTTATATGCCAAATTAGATTATCTTGAGTTATAAAAAATACAATATAAATGGCTTTGAATTTAAAGATTTTTATGTCAAATTAAACCTTAGACTTTCAGATGTGGGTTTGGGTACCTGCAGAACCTGAATGAATACTTCCTGGACCATCAGCAACTACGCTCTAAAATAACATGTTTCAAGATGGAGAGTAATAAAAGTACATTAGGTTTCCTGGTGAGCATTAAATGCAGATTCATGTATTTATTCTCCATTTCCTGGGAATTATGAAGCTTCTAGAGACAATAATCAAAGGCAGTAATTCATACATTTTCTGTTTGGTTTTTTGTTTATTTTGACTTTTAGTTATGTGGGTTTTTTTTATTATTGTCTTTGGCTAAATTCACCAATGTCGAGGTAATATTGGGACTCTGTAGGTGAACTTACCTCCGCTGAGCGGATATTGTAACTGCTAATGGAGCATCAAGCAGGTGAGAGACTGAGGATGAAAGGCATCAGTCTGTCCAAAAACAGACATTTCCTGCGGTAAATGGAGCCACCTCTTCGGAAATGAAAGAGTATTTTATGTTAAAAGGAAAATTGCAGTTCAACTTGTTTGTGAGACATGAATGTTGCAGCAGGGAAACGTCTAAACAGGAAGGCAGTGAGCCGCTTGTTCGCTGCCTCCGGATCGGTGCGTTCACTGCGTCCAAGTTGTCCTCAGGAAATGAAGGAAGGAATTCCGATTTCCCAGTCAGAAAACTGAAATGGGGAGAAACTCCGACTATAGTTACATTTTGTAAGACCGGCTTCGCGTGTCGTTGTGGCCGCTCCTTACATCAACAGTAGGAAGCTGATGGCGGTGGAAACTTTAATTATACAAGACAAACGTGCGAGAGCGTCTAAGATCAATATTACTTGTTGCTCCTTCAACTGTTAACTGAACAAATTAAAAGTAGTGCTTGGACGTGGAAATTAATGGTTAAATAGTGTTTGTAAGAGGAGCTGCACACAATGTACCTCAGGTCTGATGTCAAACCGAGCTCCGATTTACGATTTCCCAGGAACGCAGCATCGGACGTGATGTTGGACGAAACCTGGTGACTTTTCCTGTCGGCTTCTTTCTCCGAGGAGAAAACAAGACTCAGATGCTTTTTCAGAAAAATGGATGTTACAGCTGCAACTTTGTTCATTTTATTTTTCTCCCTCTCTGGGTTTATTTTCGGTAAGAGTTTATGCTTTTATTTGCGTCGTGTTTTGTCTTTTATTAGTTTTGTGTAGATTTCTCCTTTTCAAACTAACTTTTAATAGAGAGAGGATTCACCCCCCCCCCTCCCACACACACACACACACACACACACACAATTTATTTAGCTAAATAAACAGCCAATGCAGCATTTCCAGGTCGAGTGGGCCGGTGGGGGATTTTTAACTTTTTATGTATTGTTTTTATTTTATTTTTTATTTTTACCTTGTTTAAAGATTATAATTTTCAAAAGGTATTTGTAATCTGGCAAACGAGCCTCAGAACGCATACTATAACTGAATGAACAACTATCACCAAGAGAGGCATTATTACGAACAGGGTCGCAACTACATATTATTCAGGTGGAAGCGAACTTGGGGAGGGGCGCCCCTCTTGGGACGCGCCCCCTGGTCCAGCGCCACCATGCGCTGCATGCCCACTTTTTGCGGAACTGTTTACGAACCACGCATGACAATAAAACTCTGCCAAGTCGGTAGTACGGGTTCCTCTCCCAATCGGCAGGTTGTTGGTTCGATCTCCGCTCCATCTCGTCTGTACCTGGGGATGCAGTTCCCATCTGCACCGTCACTGCAGATGGGGGGTCAAGAAGTAAATGCAGCCCGTTCACCCTTTGAGACAGCTTCAAAATGCCAAAAGTCTGTGATGTGTTGGTGGTTCTAGAGACAGAGATTAATGTTACTTTCATGTTTCTAAAGTCGTTGGTCACAACAGAGTTAAATTTAAAAACTACCGGGAAAAGTGGATCAACAGTCTTAAAAACAGGAGGTAACTCGGTGCCAGAGTTTGCAGCGACCAATGAATAACCAAGCTTTCTTTTGATGGAAGTACTGCCACCTTTTGTTGAGTTACAGTGGTGCAAGTTCCTCTTTAACTTCTCTGCTCTGTTTTTCCTTCCTGCAGCTCAGGAGAACATCAGAGCTGAAACTGGGCAGGATGTGATTCTGCCGTGCCAAACTCCTGACAACAATCCTGTCATAGTCATCCAGTGGAGGAGAAATGATTCGGTATCAGAATACGTTCTTCTGTTCAGAGACGATCAGCTGGATCCAGACAACCAGCAGCCGACTTTTAGGAACCGAGTGGATCTGCTGTTCAGGCCGATAAAAGACAGAAACGCGTCTTTGGTCCTGAAGAACGTGACGGCTGACGATAAGGGAACCTACGAATGTTGAGTTATTGAGAGAGAACCGGGGAAAGAGAGCAGGTCTAACATCTGAACCAGTCAGCATCGTCAACCTGGACGTTGTTCCTCCTGGTGAGTCCGTCAGCTGGTTTGTCTTCCTGTGACACCAAAGATCCTGCTGCTGTTTCCTGGAAGCAGATAAAGTGTGGCTGCAGGCTGCAGGCGAAATGCTTTTGGTTTTGTTCTTCATCCGTTTCCAGTCTAACGGCTGATCCATGTTTCTGATCTGCAGGCCAAAAAGACGACCAAGAAGAAAACCATGTCAGCTATCGAAGACGTGATGCTCTGATCGGCGTGGCTGTCCTTTTCGCTGCTGCAGCTTCTGCTGCAGCTGGAGGAAAATTAAAATGGAGCTATCTGCAGAGGAACATCAGATGAAAGAGCTTCCCTGATCAAATTTCACTTCTCTGTAATTTTAGGCAGCGAAATAAAATGTTTTAAAAATGTTGACTATCAAATGAGCATTTTTATGGCAATTTGTCTCCATAATTAAAAAAAAAAAAAACATGCAGTGAAGTAAAGAAATTGTGACACTTGAATCAGCTTTTGGTCACAATTAAACAAGAACAAGAAACAGTAAAATCATGACATAACCTGGTAAAATAAAAGTGTTTTCAGTTGGTTTAAAAACTTCCACAGAGTCAGCAAAACTAAACTGACTCATATTAATCCTTTACTTTTTCTATTTTTCTGGGTTTTTATCAGCTAAAAGCTTTAATCGTTTCCCTTTTTGAATTTAACTCCAACTTTTCTTTGATAGTCTTAACTCAGTGAAATGCACATGGTTGTTCCTGTGAGGCAGCGTTCAGGGAAAAACAACATCCTGCCTCATTCCCGTTGGCTGCTCTTGATGATGTCATCAATGTGCGCCCCGTTCCTTCATTCTGTCGTGTTTTCCGTGAGGCATTAATCTGTTAGAAGCTTTTGTTCCACCTGCAGCGTGCTGTTAACCCGCTGGTCGTGTTTTCTGTGGTCACACCGGGAAGTGTTAGCTGAACCTGGGCATGGAGGCCGCGGAGGAGAAGACGGGCTCCATCTCTGCGGCTCAGCTCCGGGCGGAGAAACGGAGAAGGAAACTGCTGCTCAACTCGGAGGACAGAATGAACAGAATCGTTGGATTCGCTAAAAACGAGCCGGATCACAGCGGTAGGCAGTCACAGAAAACCTGGAGACTGCAGGCTGAAACCTCCGGCGGATTATTTAGGTTTATCATTTTTAAAACGTTTTGGACGCCGGCCAAAACATCGTATCTGAACTGTCCACACCTGAATTCATAGAAAGAAGGAAAACGTTTTTAAAACTAAACAGATTCTACAAGTGAAAAGCCAGTAGATTTATCTCTAAGAAACGAGTTACTCAAACACGGATCATATAACAGGGCCGGATTGAAGAGGATTAGGGCCCTTGGGCTACAGATGGTTTTGGTGCCCTATCTAAAACAAAAGAAACATTTTACTCATGCTCTTTACAGTAATGGGCAGAAATATACATCAGCAGGTGGCGATAGCTCCAAGTTAGTGCAGCACTATTCAATCATAAATAAGCACTTTAATGCCTAAAGGTCAATAACATACATCCTTTAGTTAACGTTTGATCATCTGCAGCTAAAACATCCTTCTGACATCAACATGAGAACAACTCAGGCCTTCCTGCTGGATTGCCGTCAGTACAGTGTAGAGATGATCTGGAGATTATTTTTATTAATAATTAAAAAGCAAAAGGTGCTGAACAGATAAAAAAAAACTGAATTTGAACCAGAGGAAACTAAAACTGTCCTAGTTGAGGAGTTCTGGACAGAACATGTTCTATCTTGCTGACCTTTTTTTAGAGCCTTTATACTCCAGTTAATGATTAGTGGATGATTATTTGAATAATCAATTCATCACATTTAATCCCATTAACTGTTTCAGCCTTAATTATTTTTCATCTTGTAAAATGTTGAGGGTTTTTTGCCATTAAAGGTGAAAAAAGTCAAATTGTCTCCAAACGTTTTGCTCTCTGCAGCAGCCGCCCTGCGTCCCGCCGAACCGCGCTTCCACCTGGATCTGGACAGGTCAGAGCCGTGGTCCTCGCCTTCGCCCAGGCCGCCTCCCTTCCTGTCGGAGGCGCCGGGCGTCCGCTCCCACACCGCCACGCCGGAGAGGCGGGGCTCCCCGCTGCCGGACTTCGGCCAGCCTCGCAGGGCGTCTCTGGAGGGCGACGTCGGAGGACTCCGCCACAGAGCGAAGGCGGAGCGGCCATCAGACGAGGCCGGCGGCTCGCCGCGCCCAGGCCTCCATCAGTACTTATCTCGCTTCGATGACGCCATGAAGCTTCGGAGCCAGCTGGCCAATGAGAAGCCGGAGCAGGACGGCGGTTCTGACGTAGAGGAGTTCGATCCGTTTCGGGTCTTCCGGCTGGTCGGCAGCGTCCTCCTCGCTGTTTTCGTCAGAGTTTTCGTCTGCAAGTATCTGGTGGGTCAGCCTGCTGCTAACATGAAGCTACAGGATCCAACTTATGTTTTTATCAAATCACAGGATTTTTAATACGATGGAGGATTAGGGCCATTCTAATAAAAAGATAAAAAATTAAAACACAAGAAGAAAGTCATAATATTACAGGAATAAAGTTATAATATTACAAGAATATAGTCGGAGTAATATGAGAATAAAGTCATAATATTGTCATGAATTCACTTTTTGCATTTTCTAATGCTGTGTTGTATATTGAAGATGCACAGAAAAGCTGGTTTAAAATCTTCTCCTTTTTTCTCTCTTCCAGTCAATATTTGCTCCATTTCTGACTCTTGAACTTGCCTACATGGGATTGTCAAAATACTTCCCAAAGGTAAAGTTACTCTTCTATATTTTCTTTTAACTAAATGTAAATAATAAATAATTGAACCTCCTGGTAGGTTATTTAGTTTTATCAGCACTCCACTGTGGAATATCATAAATTAAACAATTTCCAAATTTTTATGACAAATTTAAGTAAAACTTAATATTTTCTATGAGAAAATGAGGAAAATAAAAAAATCTGTTATCTGGTTGTAAAAATGCTTTATTGAATTCAATTTTGTTTATTCAAAACCACTCCAATTTATTTCAAATTAATCTGAAAATACACAACAAATCAAAATTACACCAACATATTTGAATCATTCAGACAGATTTAAACCTTTTTAGTCAGTTTTAGCGTTCAGTCCTCTAACTTTAGTTTTGTTTGAATGACTATTTAAACATATTTTCCAGTTTTTGATCACCTGCAGGATATTTTTTCTGCTCCTTCAGGTGGAGAAGAAAACCAAAACCACGGTTCTGACAGCCGCCCTGCTGCTGTCCGGCATCCCGGCCGAAGTCATCAGCCGCTCCATGGACACCTACCGCAGGATGGGCGACGTCTTCTCCGACCTCTGCGTCTACTTCTTCACCTTCATCATCTCCCACGAGATCCTGACGCTCTTCGGCTCAGAGACGCCCTGACAGAACAAAACCACACCTTCTTCTTCTTCTTCTTCTTCTTCTTCTTCTTCTTCTTCCCCCTCCTCATACCGATGAGGCTTACTCGTTTGCGCCCCCTGTTGTTTACATTCTGCTGCCTTATGTTGAGGGCTGCACCCCCTGGATGGGCTCTTCAGCTCTAATTGGAGTCCAGTGTCTAAACCTGCATGTTGATTTTACTGCTTACAGAAACTCTGGAAGAGGTTTCATGTTTTGACTTTGTTTGCATACCAGGTCCATGCTCTACAGAACACTGTAAAAAACAGAATCTGACCAAGTATTTTTCATCTAGTTTCCAGTACAAACATTTGAACCATTTGAATTTATACAAAACTAACTTACAAGTAAGTTTTCAGAAGCTTGTTTCGAGTAAATAATTCCTTAATTTCGATGAAAACGTTCCAGTTACACTGGCAGATTATTTAACTTAAAACTACATTTTCCGTTAAGAGCAATTAAGCATTTTGACATAATATGGAGCCATTATGAAGAGATGCTGCACTGCAAAAACACTAAATCTTACCAAGTAGTTTTAGTGCAAATGTCTCAAGTGTCCTTGAAATAAGACAAAACTAGCAATAAACTGCAACTTGTTTTAGATTAATAATTCCT